CCCCCCCCCCCCCGGGTTCCACGTCCAGGTTCAGGCCTGCATGGACGCTCGTATTCTCTTGTTTCTCTTCCCTTTTTCTCTTCGAAATTTGGACATTATTATGATAGTGGCGGGTAGAAGAAACCAGGGACTGTTTTTGGTGCTGTCGAGAGAATATCGAGGCGTGATCCCCATTTTTTTGTTTTTGCTCCAGGGCGACGCAAAATGGAGCGAACAAGTAGGAGGCTTTCGGAATTCGATTCATGTTAACGTTGCGTTCCAGATCTATCTGGCAATTCTTGGTACTGTGTCCCATAGCCGGAGGGGAAAGATTTGCTTCTTGGGCCCTCGGGTGAGCATCGCCGTTTCTCTTACACCCCAACCTGCAAGAAATGTGCTACATACAGCGCGCACGCGCCAGGCGCGACGGGGAGAACCCCGCTGTTACGCGTGACAGATAAGTCCATCCGATACCAAGCCGGGGGGTAACTCCCCCCTCCCCGTCGTAAAGGAGGCCCGGGAGCTAGTTTGGCGAAGAACAGTGGCCTGGTGAATAGGGGGCGGGGGGGGGGTTGCTAAGCTGCGAGCCACGCGCCTGAGGCCCCCCGCAAGGAAGGCGTTTTTTGTATTTGCGAGACTTGGTTTTGCGGGGCCCCACTGGTTACGGCGAGGACAGGGGTGGGGGGGGGGGGAAGGGGGGAGGCTGCTAATCCAGGCTTCACCTTGTTTTGGCAACGAGAGGTTCGGGCGGCGTAAACATCAAATATCACACGCTTGCTTGTGGTTCTGGGGTGGGCGCGACGCCTTTGGGTGTTTAGATGTGTTCTACGGTATCTCTCGTAATTACATAGGGGCCCTAGAAAGCCTGGTGTCTACTACAAATAGCTTGTGTCGTACACTCCTTACCTGAGACAGGTACAATTGCCGGGTTAGGTTTCTTCGGTTCGGTTACAGTGACCACCCAAAACTCTAACAGTCTGATCAGTCGTTGTGGTGTGTGCATAAAGGCTGGCAGGCAGGCAGGCAGGCAGGGGGGGAGACACAAGGGACAACGCGGAAGTGCGGCGGTATTTACCACGTATCAACCTGCTGCGTGTTTTTTCTCGTAAGCACCCCGATTCCTCTCCGCGAGGAGGAGCCGTTTTCGCGAACACCCCCTGTCGTTGTTATCTCCTGAGAAAAAAACTGTCGTCTCTAGCAGGGAGGTGTTTCTCCCAGCTTGACCAAAATTACACGTGGGTACAGAAGAGGAGCCCTCATGGACCAATGTGGTAGATATTCTGTTTTTTGGGTGCACGGAAAAAATCCGGACGCCCTGACGAAATTCTATTTCGGGACTCGCTGCTTCCACGGGGGCATCGTTGCATGTGATCCCAAACACGTTGGCCTCGGTCCCGAGCCCGTCACAGTGTTGTCCCCTTAGGTTGTGCGTGNACGACCCAACCGGGGTCACATAGGAGGGGGGGGTTGGAGCCCCTCCTGCGGTTCATGCCTGAGGTATTTTTATCGCGAGAAGGGTACAGCAATCCCTTCCCTCGCGACTTACGATGTCGATTATGGTTTACTAACAAACGAGCTTTTCAACGCGTCGCTTTCATCCTAGACCAGGATTTATTTAGGGGAAATGGACAAAAGTGGGTATACCCACCCCTTTCTCGGACAAAAGTG